GCAGGGAGCTCGGCCCCAGTGATGTATTGAGCTGTCCGCACCACCCACTGTAGCGCCATGTTATCGAGGGTGGTGCTGTTGCCATGCTAAGCAGTGATGGAGCCACTGAGGGCCCATGCCAAACCTTTTCTTTCTCCTGAGGGGGAAGAGGCGCTGTTGCGCTTTCTTCACGACTGTGCCTACAGGGGGGAGGTCAGTGACCTGGAAGTGAGTGGACTATTTAAGTCCTTAGTGATTTGGATACCGAGGAACTTTGATATTTTGACCCGCTTTACTGCAGCCCCGTCGATGTGGATGGGGGCGTTCTCGACCCCCCGTTACCTGTAGTCCACGATCAGCTCCTTGGTCTTACTGACGTTGAGGGAGAGGTTGTTGTCCTGGCACCACACTGCCAGGTCACTGACCTCCTCCCTATAGGCTGTCTCATCATCGCCGGTGATCAGGCCTACCACCGTCGTGTCTTCAGCAAACTTGATGATGGTGTTGGAGTCGTGCATGGCCACGCAGTCATGGGTGAACAGGGAGTACAGGAGGGGACTACACACACACCCCTGTGGGACCCCCGTGTTGAGGGTCAGCGTGGCGGGGGTGATGTTGCCTACCCTCACAACCTTGGGTCGGCCCGTCAGGAAGTCCAGGATCTCTCTCTCTTTCCTCTGTTCTTTCTCACTCTCGCTATATCTCTTTTTCTCTTCCTACTGTATCTCTTTTTCTCTGTCTTTCTCTATCTCTATCTCTCGCTCGCTCCATAGCACTTCCCAGCTAGCACATGACGTTCTGAGAACCATATGTTTCTTAAAGCTTGGTGAGAGTGTGGTTGTCCTATGGTTATTTTGCATACAACCTTCCCACAATGCTCTGGGAATGGTGCAGAATACCCTGCTAGCACACAACGTTCTGAGAACCATTATGGTTCTTAGGTGGGAATTTCAGTACTTCAGCATAACATTTTCTACAGGTTTCCTCGTGGTTCTATTTAAAGTCATGTTCTCAGAATGTTCAGAGAACATTAAGTAACAACGTTCTTCTGTGGGAATTTCAGTACTTCAGCATAACATTTTCTACAGGTTTCCTCGTGGTTCTATTTAAAGTAATGTTCTCAGAACATTAAGTAAACTTTCCATAAAAACCACAAGAAAATATTAGTAACGTTCAAAGAACGTTCTGAGAATGTTATTTAAAAACATATACATTCCGTTCTCAGCGTCAACAAAACTCTCTCTATCTTCTATCTTGTTAAGTGTGTTGAGGTGTGTTGGCAATGCACACTAATTGGCCGCACATGATCTTAATGAGTGCTTGTTTCCTTTGAAATGGGGTCTGTTTGAATAGACTAAAATGAACAGCTTTGTATGAGTAAAAAAAAACATGGCATGCTAGCTCCATCCTGGTGGTGCAGTGGGCTAATTCCATGGGTAGAGAACAAAAGATCATCGGTTCAAATCTCACTGATGCTGTGCCATAAAAAATAAATTTGCTTGCATGATTAATGCCTAAGCCAGGGTTCTTCAATTCCGGTCCTGGAGGGCCGAAACACTTCTGTTTTTTATTTCTACCTGGTAGTTAATTGCACTCACCTGGTGTCCCAGGTCTGAATTAGCCCCTGATTAGAAGGAAAGGATGAAAAACAGAGGTGTTTTGGCCCTCCAGGACCGGAATTGAAGAACCCTGGCCTAAGCAAATTAATTTCCATGTGTCTTATCTGTGCTTGGAGTTCTGAACAGTTAAGCTAACAGGCTTATTGAAACATGTTCTCAGAGCGTTATTTAATTACCTTCAAATAAACAATAATTTCTGTTCTCAAAACGTTAATAAAACCTCCCAGGAAAACTTTCAGGGAACCATAGTAAAATGTTCTCAGAACTTCCCTGCAACCTAAAAATGTACGTTTCCAGAACAGGCAAAAATGCACTTTCCCACAACTTCCAAGGAACCAAAAAGTGCTAGCTGGTTTGTCACCTATCTAAATATGAGTAAATGTTTCTTTTACAGTCATCCAGTGCTCAGTCCCAGGGGAAAATGTTTTGTTTGTTTTTAACTACAGGGCAGAGATGGTTACTAGGAGCGATAGAGAGGGGGAAGGCCATAAGAATGATGAGGAGCAGCAGACTAAATGACTTTCATTTGACAACACCAGAGGAAAGCTATTATAACAAAGTGAAAGCTTCTGGCCTTTAAATGAAAGATTTTCATTGAGGTGAAAAGAGTGGAATGCTGAACTGACTAAAGTCTAAAGTCCTTTGAGATAATCCATTGATGGTCTTTCACATCGGCCAGATAGAGTTAGGAGGGTGCGTTACCACTCACCGACCTTTCCTGAAACCCAGTCTTTGAATAACGGCTGGGCCGGTGTAGTGATGGTGAATGGGACGGTTCATAACAAGGCTTGATTGTGATGGGAATACTGTCAACTCATGGTAATATCCAGACTGTATGGGCTCTCAGTGTGGTAACCAAGGGGACTGTCTGTCAACAAAGGTATTCACTCTAGTTAGGATGAGGGATTTGATCTGTTTCACTTCTCTCTCACAACCCCCCCCCCCCCCCCCCCCCCTCTCTCTCTCTCTCTCTCTCTCTCTCTCTCTCTCTCTCTCTCTCTCTCTCTCTCTCTCTCTCTCTCTCTCTCTCTCTCTCTCTCTCTCTCTCTCTCTCTACCTCTCTACCTCTCTTTCTCTCTCGGTCACAGAAACAGACACACCTCCCACACACAGCTCTCTGTCCTCTGTGTACTGTTACAACTATCTGTCCTCTGTGTACTGTTACAGCCCTCTGTTCTCTGTGCACTGTTACAGCTCTCTGTCCTCTGTGTTCTGTTACAGCTCTCTGTCCTCTGTGTACTGTTACAGCCCTCTGTTCTCTGTGCACTGTTACAGCTCTCTGTCCTCTGTGTACTGTTACAGCTCTCTATCCTCTGTGTACTGTTACAGCTCTCTGTCCTCTGTGTTCTGTTACAGCCCTCTGTCCTCTGTGTTCTGTTACAGCTCTCTGTCCTCTGTGTTCTGTTACAACTCTCTGTCCTCTGTGTTCTGTTACAACTCTCTATCCTCTGTGTTCTGTTACAGCTCTCTGTCCTCTGTGTTCTGTTACAGCTCTCTGTCCTCTGTGTTCTGTTACAGCCCTCTGTCCTCTGTGTTCTGTTACAGCCCTCTGTCCTCTGTGTTCTGTTACAGCTCTCTATCCTCTGTGTTCTGTTACAGCTCTCTGTTCTCTGTGCACTGTTACAACTCTCTGTCCTCTGTGTTCTGTTACAACTCTCTGTCCTCTGTGCACTGTTACAACTCTCTGTCCTCTGTGCACTGTTACAACTCTCTGTCCTCTGTGCACTGTTACAACTCTCTGTCCTCTGTGTACTGTTACAACTCTCTGTCCTCTGTGTACTGTTACAACTCTCTGTCCTCTGTGTACTGTTACAACTCTCTATCCTCTGTGCACTGTTACAACTCTCTGTCCTCTGTGTACTGTTACAACTCTCTGTCCTCTGTGTACTGTTACAGCTCTCTGTCCTCTGTGTACTGTTACAGCTCTCTGTTCTCTGTGTACTGTTACAACTCTCTGTCTTGTCAATGGGAACACAATTGCTCCTGCATTTCTTAGGGTTGAAATGTTTTTTTGTCTGTCTATCACACACACTCTTTTCCCTTCCTTTTCTCATTCCGTCTCCCATTCCCATGTTCTCATTCCCATGTTCTCATTCCCATGTTCCAATTCCCATGTTCCCATTTCCATGTTCCCATTCCCATGTTCCCGTTCCCATTCCCATATTCCCATGTTCATCTTTCCCATTCCCATATTCCCATGTTCTCATTCCCATGTTCCCATTCACATATTCCCATGTTCCTATTCCCATGTTCTCATTCCCATGTTCCCATTCCCATGTTTTTTCCATTCCCATGTTTCAGTTCCCGTTCCCATTCCCATATTCCCATGTTCTCATTCCCATGTTCCCATTCCCATGTTCCCATTCCCATGTTTTCATTCCCATGTTTTCCATTCCCATGTTTCCCTCTCCCATTCCCATGTTCCTATTCCCATGTTTCCATTCCCATGTTCCCATTCCCATGTTCCCATTCCCATGTATCCATTCCCAATGTTTCATTCCCATGTTCCCATGTTCCTATTCCCATGTTCACATTTCCATGTTTTCCATTCCCATGTTTTTTTCATTCCCATATTCACCATTCCCATGTTTTTCCATTCCCATTCCCATTCCCATGTTCTCATTCCCATGTTCCCATTCCCATGTTCCCATTCCCATGTTTTCAATTCCCATGTTTCCATTCCCATGTTCCCTCTCCCATGGTCCCATTCCCATGTTCCCATTCCCATGTATCCATTCCCAATGTTCCCATTCCCATGTTCCCATGTTCCTATTCCCATGTTTCTCATTCCCATGTTTCCATTCCCATGTTTTCAATTCCCATGTTCACCATTCCCATGTTCCCATTCCCATGTTTTTTTCCATTCCCATGTTTCCGTTCCCATTCCCATTCCCATATTCCCATGTTCTCATTCCCATGTTCTCATTCCCATGTTTCCATTCCCATGTTTTCCATTCCTATTTTTTCCATTCCCATGTTTCCGTTCCCGTTCCCATTCCCATATTCCCATGTTCTCATTCCCATGTTCCTATTCCCATGTTCGCATTCCCATGTTCCCATTCCCATGTTTTTTTCCATTCCCATGTTTCCGTTCCCGTTCCCATTCCCATATTCCCATGTTCTCATTCCCATGTTCCCATTCCCATGTTCCCATTCCCATGTTTTTCCATTGCCATGTTCCCATTCCCATGTTTTTCCATTCCCATGTTCACCATTCCCATGTTTCCATTCCCATGTTCTGTCTTTCTATTTGTCTATCTGGGTCTCCTTCTCTCCCCATCCTTCTGTTTCACAAGCAGTCAAAACATTCACTACTACAACTCTACAAACAGCCAGATGGATTAGATGATCGATCATGCTTATTGATCCTGATAACGGATCCCTATTTCCACTCTCCCTCAGGTGGAGACAGTGTTTGGCTCGCCCAACGTGACGGTGGGCTACCACGTGATTGGAGCAGACATAGTGTACCCGCCCTCTGTGGTGGTCGAGGCGCTTCACTCCTACGGCTGGGATAGGCTGATGGGTGACGTGCGACAGTTTGTCCCCATGGTAACAGCGCTGCCCAACACAGCCGCACCATGGAGATCCAGCCCAGCTATCGGCCTCCAGCTCAAAACAGGTCTGATGGTTTAGACTAGAGGACTATGTTTAGGAGCCATGTTGTTTTTTTTTTTTCACTCACTTATACAAGACACATTAAGGAGGCTGCAATACATTAGTCTGCACTGTGTCCATATACAAGCTCCGATTGATGGGGTTGAGTATTGAACTACAGTTACTCTGCCCTGATGTTCTCGAATGTTCCATGTTCTATGGGTGTTGTCTGTGTGTTCCAGTTCTGCGCTTCGTAGGTCCAGGAGATGACCCGCGGTCCTGTCGGTTCTCGCAGATGATGGAACAGAGGCTGGAGAACGTGTTCTCTGAGGCCCAGGCCAAAGTCCTGGACGTCCACACCAGACTCTCTGTCCAGGTACAGATATTATAGTACCATGGCCTCCTCCTCCTCACTCAGTAACCCTGTGACCTGTGGAGGTGGTGACTTCATATGTACCTGGTCCTCTGTAGCTCAGTTGGTAGAGCATGGTGCTTGCAATGCCAGGATAGTGGGTTCGATTCCTGGTACCTCCTGTAGGTGAAATGTATGCACACAATACTGTAAGTTGCTTTGGATAAAAGCAGCTGCTAAATGGCTTATATTTGGTATGTGGAGACAGGATGTTGTAGGTGGAGGACTTTCTGCTCTTCATGATGTCCTTGTTACTGATCCCAGCAGGGGATTAATAAAGGTATATGGTTTTGTATTGTATACACATATCATAATACATAGCCTACATCTCTAGGTACTCTTATCATTGCTTCCCACCACAGAGCAATTATTTATTGTCTGGACATAGGGCTTTTAGCCATTTTACTTCTAACTGTTTCAAATTGAACGAACAGTTGATATTTACACCAGACTTGTGTTGATGCTTATTTTAGATGTTATAACATTAAACTTAATTACAAACAAATCCAAAGAGTCTAAATATGGGTAGTCCGATTGGTCATTTGATGATGTGTGGCACAGTTTGTATGGAATTAACCTCAAAGCATTTTGCACTACCATTTTCACAGACACAGCTCTGCAGTTGAAGAGGTTTGGCACTAGCAAAGCAAAACGCAAGCTGTGCATAATTGGAGCATAATTATCATTCCTAAGTGCATTGTTCATGTGCCATTGTAAATAGAAGCTGTTCTCAGATCTGAACTGATTGTGTTTGGGGAGACAATGTGTGTATTATGTTTTAATGAGCTTCCTAGCTGCCATATTATCATGTCCACTACATTATGTATGTCAAGCTTTATGTTTTTTTGTGTAGAACATAAAGTTGACGTTATAAACACTTTCACAGTGGCAAATGGCTTGCCAGTTTCACTCTTGACAGCCGTTTTAATATCTTTATGGATTTAAGCATATTTTTGTTATGCTAATTATGCCAATACGTTTTATAGCTCCTCTGTAACTTATTACACATTAAAGTAGATTGATCTAAATTGAAATGATGTTGTGCAACTTACTTTATTTGTCCCTATACCCCATCTTCCCCCTCTCCCACAATTAGCGAAAAAAAGCTTTCCCAAGAGCGTCAAAGCGATAGAATCGGATAAAAAATAGGAGAGCAGGGTTCAGCCGAGGAAAAGGCGCTGTGGCGCGTGCGAGAGAGGGACTGGGTAACAAAGGAGATGGGGGAGAAAGAGGGGGGGAGAGTGAAAGGAACGGTTTGGAAAGGTGGGGCAAAGGCGAGGAAGAGAGAGAGAGAGAGCTAAATGTGAGTAAAGTAGTAGAAAGAGGAGGATACGAGAGGAGAGAGAAAGGGGGGGGAAGGAAAGAGAAAGTAGAGAGAGCAGAGCAGCAGAAGAGAGAGAGTAGAGCAGGAACAAAGAAAAGGAAAGAGCTAAGGACTAAGAGAGAGAGAGAGGTGAGAAAAGTACAGAGAGAGAGAGAGAGAGAGAGTAGTAGAGAAAGAGAGGAAGAGGAAAAAGAAAAAAAAAGCCGATGATGAGAGAGAAAGAAAGCGACAGCAGATGAGAGAAAAGGGGGAGAAAAAAAATAGGAGAGAAGAGAGAGGAGAGCGAGAGAGAGAGAGAGAGAGAGAGAGAGAGAGAGAGAGAGAAGAGAGAGAGAGAAAGGAAGAAAGAGGAGAGAGAGAGAGAAAAGAGAGAGAGAGAGAGTAAAGACGAGAGAGAGAGAGAGAGAGAGAGAGAGAGTAGATTGACTCAGGTCTTAGACGACGCACCGGCGCAGAGACGCAGCGAGAGAGAGATAGAGAGAGAGGAAGAGCGAGATGACGGAGAAAGAGAGCAGAGAACAGAGAAGAGAATATAAAGCAGAGAGATGGTAGCAAAAGAGAGAAGAGAGGGAGACAAAGACCCTCCCAAAGATGAGAGAGAAAGAGAGAGATTACTAGAGAAAAGGTGGGAAAAAAAAAATATCCAAGGAGAGAGAAAGCGGACGGAACAAAAGACAAGGAGAGAGAAAGAGAGAAAGACAAGACAAGAGGAGAAAGAGCGAGAAAAAAGAGAGCAGAGAGAAAGAGAGAGAGAGAAACGCGGAGAGAGTGAAGAGAAGGGAGAGAGAGTAGAGAGTGAGAGAGTCATGATGAAGAGCGAGGGAGCGACGGAGAGATCGCGCTGAGTAGTGATGAGAGCCTATCTAGCGCTAGAGAGTGGAAAGCTCGTCGAGCATCCACCTGTAGAGGCGCCTAGCCCTCGTCTAGTCTCGCGCTCGTTGCTCGCCCATCGCTCTCTCACTCTCGCCCGGCTCCCTCTCCCTATCTCCGCTCTTCTCCCTCTCGCCCCCCTCTCTTCCTCTCCCTGTCCTCTAGATGCTGAGTGTGTCTCAGTCAGTGGGTTCTCCTGCTGTGTCTCTGGTCTACATAGTGAGGAACGGGACCGCCCCTCTCAACGGCACCGCCGCCTCTAACCTCCTGGGTCAGCTGACCGCCGAGATGGTCGGCTACTTCCTGTTCTACCCCCCGCTGGTCATTGCTGAACGTAAGTGCCCTAGTGCCTCCCGGGATACCCCCGATACCCTCTTAACACATCCTCAGGGTCTACCTCAGGCGTCCCCAGAAATAGATCTAGGATCAGGTTACCCTCCCCCAATCCTAACCTTGACCTTTACCTTTATTGCGGTTCAAACACAAAACTGACCTGAGATCAGAGTCTACGTGCCAACTTCATCCTACTCCTCCCTAGACACCCCTGTGGGTTTTATATAGCCTGCATGGCACACTTCTGTCTGGGTATTTATCGCAGTGAGTAGCATGGGTCTCTTCAGAAGAAGGACTGAGGTACTGGAAGGACTTGTATAGAATAACATGGACGAGTGACGTTCCCCAGCCCTTTGAGTAATTGGATGTTTGTGACTGTTGCTCGGCCATGTTCGTGACTGTTGCCCTCTACAACGATGCAGTTGTTTTTAATGATTGAGTCACTGTACTGTAAGCTCTGGATGCTAAGGTACAGCTAACCCCCTGCCTCCTCCTCCTCCTCTGTAACGACAGGCTACATCTAACTAGGCTGTTCCAGTGTTGTTAAAGGACCAATGAGCAGTGACAGGGAAACAGTTTGAGTCTAAACAATGGTCCCAGTACACTCTTCTAGTCCACCGTCTGCCTCCTCCCTCAATTTGAACTGGGAGAATGAACAAACTAATGCACTCCGATCAGCACAGAGAGAAATGCCTTTCCGAGACACCGGTCCAAGACGGCGTTCCTGGCATCACAGACAGTTTTTTAAACAAGGCATCTGGGAAGAGCGGCACATACTTCTCCTCTGAGACTCACACTTGGGTCACCCCTCACCCTTGACCCATGACTACCCAGGATGCACCTGGAGTGACTCATGTGACCCTGTTTACGAGAGGGTTGCGCCACGGGGCCGTGCACTGACATACAGTTCAGTACTAACTAACGTCATTACTGTATCAGTAAGGTGTGGGCAGATGGCCGCTTGGTTTACATTGGACAGCATTTGAATCCAGATTGCATTGACCCTCCACTTTGTGCATTGAATAAATCAAGTGATGAGCATAATTACCTATGGGGGGAGGGAGGAAGGGAGAAAGAATAGAACAAGAGGAAGACAGAGGGGAGGAAGAAGCCATGAGTGGAAGAAAGGAAGCAGACTCAGCAGAGGGAAAGAGAGAGATGAGAGATAGTTTGTCCTGTTTGTTTTGTACCTCTGCCATTTGTAATATTACAGTTTTATAGGGAGGTGAGGGAGGTCTCTGCCATATGTTGGCAGCGGCTGGCTCCGCTCTTCAAAGGCAATTACCACTGTAAATAATTAACAGTGGGGGGTTTATCAGTGTGCACAGTAGAACACCTCAGGCCCTGTTCAGACAGAGACTCTCCGTTTCCAACACTACTGTTTACAGCATGGAGAATTCCAGGGAATGGCAGGGGATTTTTCAGACTGTTCATAGATAGATAGATAGACAGGCAGGCAGGCAGGCAGGCAGGCAGGCAGGCAGGCAGGCAGACAGACAGACAGACAGACAGACAGACAGACAGACAGACAGACAGACAGACAGACAGACTGACTGACTGACTGACTGACTGACTGACTGACTGACTGACTGACTGACTGACTGACTGACTGACTGACTGACTGACTGACTGACTGACTGACTGACTGACTGACTGACTGACTGACTGACTGATAGATAGATAGATAGATGTGGTGATGAGTTTTTAAGCTTGTCTTCTGTGTTTTGTTCCTTTCAGTGGCATTGTGTGTTTGTGTGTGTGTGTGTGTGTGCGTGTGTGTTTATACATTTAAGAAGCCAAACTCTGTGCCAAGGTTTTAGTAAGGCTGTGTACAGTTGAATGTATTTAAAACCAGAATGTGGATGACGGAAAACCAAAAGAACTCAGCAAGTAAAGAGTAGTCACAAAACAACACAACAGGCATTCTTTTGTTCAATATTTGATGAGTGTTTGACTTCTAAACTACTGTTTAGTGTACATGCTGTTTTTGTTTATTCAACAAGGGAATCACACACAACCTACTCCTTTCAAATCCATCCAACAAATAATTTTCAGAATGCTGTGTTTTTCATCCCTAGGCCTAGCCACTCTAACTTTAGCAGTGGAGCTCTGAGGCTTATGTGGAACATCATCACAGATTAAGCAGCATGATTGTGCACGGCTGAGACTACAGTATTGGACAGTGTTAAAGAGACTCTGCTGACAGCCCTGCAGTCGTAACGGTTAGCACGCCAGAGCATTCACTGTTCCCCTACTCACTCATACAGAGCGGGTGATGTGACAGGCTTGCAAATCTTTATAAATGAATAAAAGAACCCCCCAGACAGATGTGTAGAGGATGTTTGGGGGACGTGCTGAGAATGGAGAGGAGGAGGGAAGGAGGGACTAGTGCCAGCCTCGCAGCCGGACGGCCATTTTAGGGCTGTTATCACTGCCAGCTTGTTTGTGACACCTGAACCAGATGTCACTCACTCTCTCACTCTCTCACTCACTCTCACATTCACTCTCACTCTCACTCTCACTCTCTATCTCTATACAACTCTACCCCTGTCTCTCTTTCTCTACCGCGTCTGATTTCATAGGCCAGTGATACAGCATGCCCCCAAAACACTGCACCAGCCCCAGTACGTAATCAGGCAGGAAATATGTAACCAAGCTAAAGCCTGGGAAACTCAACAGACAACCAGAACAGAGGCAGAGCCCATACAGCTCTAAGCTCTCACAGTGAGACACTCAGCCAAAGCTCTCAGTATAAGAAGCTCTATGACGCAAAGGCATAATGGAGGTTTAAGTTGTGCCACTGCAAACTCTCAGCACCACTGCAGTGATGTTTTCACAAGGAGAAATTGAGGTGCTCAAAGCACCAATGTAGTTCTGACCTGAGTCAAATTCATAAAGAAATTCACAGAAATTATTTTGACACAGATTTTAAAAAAGCTCAGGCTGGTCATGTTGTTACTCTGTTCTTTTCCAGCATTGGAATACCACAACCTCAATACGTCCATCGCTACCAGAGACTTCTGGGTAATCACAGGTAATTGTCTTATTGTTTCTTTCATTATTGGCTTATTGAAGAGAAGCTCTCTAGTTGTGCTGCTGATATGTTTTCTGTCTATGCAGTCGTTTCTGCTTATTTTAACCCCTTACACTCGTGGAAATGGGCCTGTATGGATTGGGCCAAATTGAAATGTTTCTAACAGAAGAACTATAAAAAGCATATATATGACCATGGTACAACCTACACTCAGCTGTACCCATAGGAGAACCCTTTTTGGTTCCATGGAGAACCCTTTTTGGTTCCAGGTAGAACCCTTTTGGGCTCCATGTATAACCCTCTGTGGAAAGGCTCCTACATGGAACCCAAAAGGGTTCTACCTGGAACCAAAAAGGGTTCTTCAAAGGGTTCTCCTATGGGGACAGCTGAAGAACCCTTTTGGGTTCTAGATAGCACCTTTTTTTCTAAGAGTGTAGCAATTGAAAGAGCAATTGAATTTTATGTGCATTTTACATTTACTGTACTTTTCACAGCATTTGTCAGTAACGAAATCTGGAAATTCTCTGTATACATTCAGTAACATAATAAGAATATTAATTGACATTTTGGAGTAGGTGCAAGATAAGAAAAAACAGGGGTTCACAAGGGTTTGAGTGAGAGGTCTAACGGGTGTCTCCAAGTGGCCACACACCTCTCCAAACTGTGCACAGTTCCTAAGTCATTTCAATGCACTTTTATGACTCAAGGAAAGAGCCTTCAACTATAAGGGGCTTTATTGAGCTCTCCTAGCTTTGCCATTGAGGAACTGAAGCAAGCACACTGGTAGTTTTTTGTTTGGAACACAGCCCTGCTTCCCCACCATCACACAATTACTGTTGTTATTTCATGAGTGCATTCAAGTGTTTATTCCGCGACAAAATGTCTTCACAATATGACAAACATAGGCTAATTCTGTTCAGGACAACACAGGGTATATGCATGTCATCCTTGTAACTGTGGATCATACATAGTGATCTTAAACATAGATACTGTAAATTATGAAATTTCAAAAAATGGAAATATGAACTGCACATTTGGACTCAATGGTGTGTGATTTGCTTGTATGACTTCAAAGCGGTATATATTATAATCGTCAACATGTCATCCTTCAGAACACATCGACTCCTCTCGATTTACAGCATTACCCTCACTCAGACAACAACAAATGTGCAGAAGTATCCCAATAGTGGGAGGGACTGGGGCAACTTCCTGTTGCGCTCGGTGCTCAAGTTTATAACAGCACTTATCAATGACAAGATCTGGCATTTTCAACCCATATACGGGATGACGGGCTGTGAGTGGAAAGGGTTAATTCATTTTTATGATTTTTATAATATTTCTGTATTGAGGCTTTTGTTAAATGCACTTTAAATAAATTGTGATTTGATTATTTTATCCTACTCCTTCCATTGGTTACCTTATTTATTATTTAAGCTACTCTAACAGTGCACCCTTGAGATATTGAATTCCTCTGAAATATTCCATGCTTTCTTATCTGATGCCTAGACTCTGAACACACTACCAATGGAATGCACAATGGCGTATCATAGCTGTTGTTGATTGATCGTCGTTGCGGAGACATGGAGCAATACATCAATATTGTATATTTTATATGATCTTGATTGATTGACATCATTGAACAATGATGTTATCAATGTATTGTATAATTGCTTCTGCCCTTGTTAACTGTGTAATTCAATGAGTAGAAGTAGAGTACAGAGGTCTTACAGAGGTCACCATGACTACCCATTCTGTCACTAGAGTACAGAGGTCTTAAACCATGTGACTATGTTGTTTTACTGAACATCCCCTGTCCATTGTAATATACATCTACAAATGGGTCAGGGAAATAGTCTTACTGACCATGACCCCCATTCTGTCACTAGCGTACCCTGACTGGACCATGACCCCCATTCTGTCACTAGCGTACCCTGACTGGACCATGACCCCCATTCTGTCACTAGCGTACCATGACTGGACCATGACCACCCATTCTGTCACTAGCGTACCATGACTGGACCATGACCCCCATTCTGTCACTAGCGTACCATGACTGAACCATGACCTCCCATTCTGTCACTAGCGTACCATGACTGGACCATGGCCTACCATTCTGTCACTAGCGTACCATGACTGGACCATGACCTCCCATTCTGTCACTAGCGTACCATGACTGGACCATGACCACCCATTCTGTCACTAGCGTACCATGACTGGACCATGGCCTACCATTCTGTCACTAGCGTACCATGACTGGACCATGACTCTACATTCTGTCACTAGCGTACCATGACTGGACCATGGCCTACCATTCTGTCACTAGCGTACCATGACTGGACCATGACTCTACATTCTGTCACTAGCGTACCATGACTGGACCATGACTCTACATTCTGTCACTAGCGTACCATGACTGGACCATGACTCTACATTCTGTCACTAGCGTCCCATGACTGAACCATGGCCTACCATCCTGTCACTAGCGTACCATGACTGGACCATGGCCTACCATTCTGTCACTAGCGTACCATGACTGGACCATGACTCTACATTCTGTCACTAGCGTACCATGACTGGACCATGACTCTACATTCTGTCACTAGCGTACCATGACTGGACCATGACTCTACATTCTGTCACTAGCGTCCCATGACTGAACCATGGCCTACCATCCTGTCACTAGCGTACCATGACTGGACCATGGCCTACCATTCTGTCACTAGCGTACCATGACTGGACCATGACTCTACATTCTGTCACTAGCGTACCATGACTGGACCATGACTCTACATTCTGTCACTAGCGTACCATGACTGGACCATGACTCTACATTCTGTCACTAGCGTACCATGACTGGACCATGGCCTACCATCCTGTCACTAGCGTACCATGACTGGACCATGGCCTACCATTCTGTCACTAGCGTACCATGACTGGACCATGACCACCCATTCTGTCACTAGCGTACCATGACTGGACCATGGCCTACCATACTGTCACTAGCGTACCATGACTGGACCATGACTCTACATTCTGTCACTAGCGTACCATGACTGGACCATGGCCTACCATTCTGTCACTAGCGTACCATGACTGGACCATGACTCTACATTCTGTCACTAGCGTACCATGACTGGACCATGACTCTACATTCTGTCACTAGCGTACCATGACTGGACCATGACTCTACATTCTGTCACTAGCGTCCCATGACTGAACCATGGCCTACCATCCTGTCACTAGCGTACCATGACTGGACCATGGCCTACCATTCTGTCACTAGCGTACCATGACTGGACCATGACTCTACATTCTGTCACTAGCGTACCATGACTGGACCATGACTCTACATTCTGTCACTAGCGTACCATGACTGGACCATGACTCTACATTCTGTCACTAGCGTCCCATGACTGAACCATGGCCTACCATCCTGTCACTAGCGTACCATGACTGGACCATGGCCTACCATTCTGTCACTAGCGTACCATGACTGGACCATGACTCTACATTCTGTCACTAGCGTACCATGACTGGACCATGACTCTACATTCTGTCACTAGCGTACCATGACTGGACCATGACTCTACATTCTGTCACTAGCGTACCATGACTGGACCATGGCCTACCATCCTGTCACTAGCGTACCATGACTGGACCATGGCCTACCATTCTGTCACTAGCGTACCATGACTGGACCATGACCACCCATTCTGTCACTAGCGTACCATGACTGAACCATGACCTCCCATTCTGTCACTAGCGTACCATGACTGGACCATGGCCTACCATTCTGTCACTAGCGTACCATGACTGGACCATGACCTCCCATTCTGTCACTAGCGTACCATGACTGGACCATGACCACCCATTCTGTCACTAGCGTACCATGACTGGACCATGGCCTACCATTCTGTCACTAGCGTACCATGACTGGACCATGACTCTACATTCTGTCACTAGCGTACCATGACTGGACCATGGCCTACCATTCTGTCACTAGCGTACCATGACTGGACCATGACTCTACATTCTGTCACTAGCGTACCATGACTGGACCATGACTCTACATTCTGTCACTAGCGTACCATGACTGGACCATGACTCTACATTCTGTCACTAGCGTCCCATGACTGAACCATGGCCTACCATCCTGTCACTAGCGTACCATGACTGGACCATGGCCTACCATTCTGTCACTAGCGTACCATGACTGGACCATGACTCTACATTCTGTCACTAGCGTACCATGACTGGACCATGACTCTACATTCTGTCACTAGCGTACCATGACTGGACCATGACTCTACATTCTGTCACTAGCGTCCCATGACTGAACCATGGCCTACCATCCTGTCACTAGCGTACCATGACTGGACCATGGCCTACCATTCTGTCACTAGCGTACCATGACTGGACCATGACTCTACATTCTGTCACTAGCGTACCATGACTGGACCATGACTCTACATTCTGTCACTAGCGTACCATGACTGGACCATGACTCTACATTCTGTCACTAGCGTACCATGACTGGACCATGGCCTACCATCCTGTCACTAGCGTACCATGACTGGACCATGGCCTACCATTCTGTCACTAGCGTACCATGACTGGACCATGACCACCCATTCTGTCACTAGCGTACCATGACTGGACCATGGCCTACCATTCTGTCACTAGCGTACCATGACTGGACCATGACTCTACATTCTGTCACTAGCGTACCATGACTGGACCATGGCCTACCATTCTGTCACTAGCGTACCATGACTGGACCATGACTCTACATTCTGTCACTAGCGTACCATGACTGGACCATGACTCTACATTCTGTCACTAGCGTACCATGACTGGACCATGACTCTACATTCTGTCACTAGCGTCCCATGACTGAACCATGGCCTACCATCCTGTCACTAGCGTACCATGACTGGACCATGGCCTACCATTCTGTCACTAGCGTACCATGACTGGACCATGACTCTACATTCTGTCACTAGCGTACCATGACTGGACCATGACTCTACATTCTGTCACTAGCGTACCATGACTGGACCATGACTCTACATTCTGTCACTAGCGTCCCATGACTGAACCATGGCCTACCATCCTGTCACTAGCGTACCATGACTGGACCATGGCCTACCATTCTGTCACTAGCGTACCATGACTGGACCATGACTCTACATTCTGTCACTAGCGTACCATGACTGGACCATGACTCTACATTCTGTCACTAGCGTACCATGACTGGACCATGACTCTACATTCTGTCACTAGCGTACCATGACTGGACCATGGCCTACCATCCTGTCACTAGCGTACCATGACTGGACCATGGCCTACCATTCTGTCACTAGCGTACCATGACTGGACCATGACTCTACATTCTGTCACTAGCGTACCATGACTGGACCATGACTCTACATTCTGTCACTAGCGTCCCATGACTGAACCATGGCCTACCATCCTGTCACTAGCGTACCATGACTGGACCATGGCCTACCATTCTGTCACTAGCGTACCATGACTGGACCATGACTCTACATTCTGTCACTAGCGTACCATGACTGGACCATGACTCTACATTCTGTCACTAGCGTACCATGACTGGACCATGACTCTACATTCTGTCACTAGCGTACCATGACTGGACCATGGCCTACCATCCTGTCACTAGCGTACCATGACTGGACCATGGCCTACCATTCTGTCACTAGCGTACCATGACTGGACCATGGCCTACCATTCTGTCACTAGCGTACCATGACTGGACCATGACTCTACATTCTGTCACTAGCGTACCATGACTGGACCATGACTCTACATTCTGTCACTAGCGTACCATGACTGGACCATGACTCTACATTCTGTCACTAGCGTACCATGACTGGACCATGGCCTACCATCCTGTCACTAGCGTACCATGACTGGACCATGGCCTACCATTCTGTCACTAGCGTACCATGACTGGACCATGACCACCCATTCTGTCACTAGCGTACCATGACTGGACCATGGCCTACCATTCTGTCACTAGCGTACCATGACTGGGACCATGACTCTACATTCTGTCACTAGCGTACCATGACTGGACCATGGCCTACCATTCTGTCACTAGCGTACCATGACTGGACCATGACTCTACATTCTGTCACTAGCGTACCATGACTGGACCATGACTCTACATTCTGTCACTAGCGTACCATGACTGGACCATGACTCTACATTCTGTCACTAGCGTCCCATGACTGAACCATGGCCTACCATCCTGTCACTAGCGTACCATGACTGGACCATGGCCTACCATTCTGTCACTAGCGTACCATGACTGGACCATGACTCTACATTCTGTCACTAGCGTACCATGACTGGACCATGACTCTACATTCTGTCACTAGCGTACCATGACTGGACCATGACTCTACATTCTGTCACTAGCGTCCCATGACTGAACCATGGCCTACCATCCTGTCACTAGCGTACCATGACTGGACCATGGCCTACCATTCTGTCACTAGCGTACCATGACTGGACCATGACTCTACATTCTGTCACTAGCGTACCATGACTGGACCATGACTCTACATTCTGTCACTAGCGTACCATGACTGGACCATGACTCTACATTCTGTCACTAGCGTACCATGACTGGACCATGGCCTACCATCCTGTCACTAGCGTACCATGACTGGACCATGGCCTACCATTCTGTCACTAGCGTACCATGACTGGACCATGACTCTACATTCTGTCACTAGCGTACCATGACTGGACCATGACTCTACATTCTGTCACTAGCGTCCCATGACTGAACCATGGCCTACCATCCTGTCACTAGCGTACCATGACTGGACCATGGCCTACCATTCTGTCACTAGCGTACCATGACTGGACCATGACTCTACATTCTGTCACTAGCGTACCATGACTGGACCATGACTCTACATTCTGTCACTAGCGTACCATGACTGGACCATGACTCTACATTCTGTCACTAGCGTACCATGACTGGACCATGGCCTACCATCCTGTCACTAGCGTACCATGACTGGACCATGGCCTACCATTCTGTCACTAGCGTACCATGACTGGACCATGACCACCCATTCTGTCACTTTTTTCTTATTTATATTAGTTCTTATTTTTTTTTAAATATTTTTAAAATATTTTATTTTACCCTTATTTAACTAGGCAAGTCAGTTAAGAACACATTCTTATTTAAAATGACGGCCTACACCGGCCAAACCCGGACGACGCTGGGCCAATTGTGCGCCACCCTATGGGACTCCCAATCATGGCCGGTTGTGATACAGCCTGGAATCCAACCAGGGGGTCTGTAGTGACACCTCTAGCACTGAGATGCAGTGCCTTAGACCGCTGCGCCACTCGGGAGCCCACCATGACTGGACCATGACTCTCTATTCTGTCACTTACGTACCATGACTGGACCATGACTCTCTATTCTGTCACTAGCATACTATGACTGGACCATGACTCTCTATTCTGTCGCTAGCGTACCATGACTGGACCATGACTCTCTATTCTGTCACTAGCGTACCATGACTGGACCATGACCACCCATTCTGTCACTAGCGTACCATGACTGGACCATGACCACTCATTCTGTCACTAGCGTACCATGACTGGACCATGACCCTCCATTCTGTCACTAGCGTACCATGACTGGACCATGACCCACGATTCTGTCACTAGCGTACCATGACTGGACCATGACCCCCCATTCTGTCGCTAGCGTACCATGACTGGACCATGACCCCCCATTCTGTCACTAGCGTACCATGACTGGACCATGACCCCCCATTCTGTCACTAGTGCCTCTGAGCGGTTGGTTTACCATGACCTTGATACATATGAACCCCCCATTCGTCACTAGCGTA